GTGGAAATAAAGATTTCATCCAGCCACAAATAATAATCCTATAACTTACAATGCAAGAGTCGTAGGTAACTGGCAGAAATCGCGGATCGAAACTGTCGGCAATAATTAACGCCTTGAATACGTCTGCTTTTGCACTGCCAGATACTGCTTTCGCTCCTTTCTTCCCCATCTTCCACTCCTTCCTCTTCTTCTGAAAATGCCACAGCGCTAGATGTGACCAGTCAAAATTCCACTTACACACTCGTCTCCCGAAAATACTACGAGTGGTTGCACGTGCCAAAAACAACCACCAAGTTGGCAAGCCTGCCGACGGCTCGGCCCCTCCAGCACGGCTTAGAAGCAAACTGATGGCCGTTTACTGGGCATGTGCCACTGCCAATGAAACAATTGGCCAGCGCACGGGCTGCCCGAGCGAAGATGCGTTTTTTGCATAGCTCCCCGCAGATTTTTGTCGCTAACGGCACTGGTTTCTCTGGCAGATGCTTCTACCTGAAAGAATTCGCCAGGACAGTCAGGAAGCATCCCTTTAAAATCCCAGTCTTCTAGCTTCTCACTTTCCCGAGTTAGCAACTTACCCAGAAGAAACTTTCAAGGGCCCGTAGGTAGGTACCACGCTTACTTGCGAGCAAGGTTGAACTCGTTAATACCTACTTGGGCGGGGAACATTGCCCTGAAATTTCAGCATTCTAGCTTCTCAAATCCCCGAGTTATGAACTTACCCCAAAAAAAATTTGGTAGGCCCGTACGCGGGTACCACGTGGGTGCTGGCGCTCATTTTTGGGATTGGGGCCGGAACGTGCCTGTAGATTAAGTCCCTGAAATTTCAGCCTGCAGCTTTTATAGGTCTTGCGATGAAAGTGCGTGACAGACGCACACAGACACACAGACAACCCACTCCTCAGTATGCGTTTTCTGCACTGCATAGGTGCAAAAAACGCATAACAAATGAACGAACAATGAATGAAATGATCCGAGTAACTCTCTCGACCTGCGAAGAACAGCCAATTGCTAGTGCGCCCTAATCGCCGCAAATAACCCAGTGAAGACAATAAAAAACACCACCTCGTGACCCAACAAGCCAAAGACACGGGATCCACGTGAAATCGAACCCCGACCGCACGCAAACACACCACACCACGCTCCCAAAGCATCCCCGCCAACTAACTACCAGTGCCTTGCTTTCTACGATCATCTTTTCAGCACTTTACATCAGAATCCCATCACGTAGTACTTGCGTTCCAAGATTGTTCGCAGCAACTGCAGCTATGCACTCACATCAACTTTGCACTTTTGACGTAGAGAAATTTAAGGCACCAGGTTTGTCGCTGCGCATGCATTTTTATGCGTTTTGTGCTCTGTAACAACATTACAAAACACATACTGTTACGGGGTTGTCTCTGAGTGTGTGTCCCACATTTTGTCCCGCACTCTGAACTCGGGAACTACAAAAACTAGGCGGCTGAAATTTTGGTATAGTGTTCCCCGCCAGTGGGTGACGCGGCAAATTTAAATTAAGCCCTCCCGTATCCGCGAGTAACACGTACGGCCCCATGAAAGTTTTTTACGGGTAAATTATTATCTCGGGAACCACGGAATCCAGGAAGCTGAAATTTTACGGTAATGACCCCCTGCCCACGCTCAACCTTGCCCATTTAAATTCAGCGTTCCCGCGCTCTCAGGTATCACCTACGGGCTACTGAAAGTTTTTACGGGTAAATTATTATCTCGGAAACCACGGGGTCTAGGAAGCTGAAATTTTAGGGTAATAACTCCCTGCCCACGCTCAACCTTGCCTA